GAGAGAGAGCGAGAGAGAGATAGAGAGAGAGAGAGAGAGAGAGAGAGAGAGAGAGAGTGCGCGCGAGCAAGAGAGAGTATATTTGATGCTGACTGCATCCGCTCAGATGCCGACGCAGTGTCTCGGTAAACGGAAGGCGTCCGCGTGCAGGAAGCGCGACGTCCCCGCTCACAATCCGTCATCCCCCCGGGGGGGGGGGCAACATTAGCGACGGCCACAAATGGCAGAAGGAGTCGAGACACTGTCTGTAGCATCTTCGACCACAGTACGAGTACTAGTACTAGTTACCAAGAGCTAAAATACCTAGATAATAATACCTATAAATTTCAGGGGTAGAAATTAACTTTTAAACAAGGGAGTCCAACGGACTCCCTGCCCTCAAAAAGAGGCAGGCCGCGGCAAAATGAGGAAGTCCGCAGTCTGAAGTTCAAAATTAAAAATATTAACAACGCATGTGCTTATTTTGAAGATTCATGCGGTTGCACGTCTGCCAAATTTTCCTTGGACATTGGCTGAAAAAAATACGGCAATTCCATGAGGCCGTGCTCTAGAACGAACTAGTTAGTATGGCAGAATTTTCAGGGAGTCACACGGACTCCTGCATATGTCAAATCAGGTAGTCCGACAGTAAATCAAGGAGTATTTGACAACGGACTTCCGTTAATTTCGCACCCTGTGTAATATTACCTAATAATAATAAGGGTACTATACCAAGAGCTAATAATACCTAGATAATAATACCTAGATAATAATAACTATAATAATTATTACCTAATAATAAAGGTATTATTAGCTCTTGGTAGGCCTACTACTCTAGCAGTAGTACTAGTACGAAATTATACTAATAGTATACTATAATACTAGAATAAACTAGTAGGAGTACTATACTATAAGGAGTAAATTATAGGCCTATTAGATCGTAAAATATCTATAATTTAGTCCTGATAGTAGCACTAGTAACACTATGCTATAGTAGGCAACGTGTTCTCGCAGAGTAGACTAATGTCAGAGGTCCGTGAGTGGAGCCGAACGAGTTAGCCCTAATCCCTGACTACGAGTCGCCTCGTTTGAATACATCTCGCAAACCGGTGAGTTTTTGTGCGCGTATTGTACGCGAAAATATTTGGCTCTCCGTGACTGAACCCTATTCACGCGTACCCTCGTTTGGTTTATAGATAGACATAGAATAGAGATTCTCTATTCTATATCTGTCAAAAGTACATAATCATAAGATAACATCTCTATAATGTACTCTTGATACCTATCGTTTATATACCGAGTCTCCGTGGATGATAACGTCAATATCGATATCATCGGCGTGGCTACGAAAATAGTACACTTTTCAGCAAACACATGATCACGTCTTTATTCGTTGTATTGACAAATTAGAACTCAAAGAGTGAAAACTCACACCCCAGGCTTCATTCAGCATCGTTATATCAGATCACATTTCATACGCATTCCCCTTTTGGGTATTTTTAAAATGCTGCAGCTGTCAATGAAGGCGATAGCGACATAAACGCGAAATACATTTAGGCTTCCGATACAGGCAATTGTGTCACATTATGTTTCCGCTCACAATTAAACCGTTTACATATAGGCGTCAGTGTATGATGACAAACAGTACCAACGATGACAGTACCGCCGGCACACGAACAGCTGGCCAGGTATTTGATGCAATTTAAAAAGCGCCTTTTATTCGCCTGCCTTATCTGATTACGGTATTGACATGAGAAAAGATTTTCCCTCCGCAGAGTAAATGGACTCCCCCGTTGCTACGCATGCACCCTGAAGGCGTATGAGCAAAAACAAGCACTTGCCAGCCCTACTGTTTTCCGTAATGTACACAGCGAGGCTACCGTTGCAAGCCAATCGTACAAAAAAAACGTACACACGTGCTATCTCTCGAGAACAAGGCCGTACGCAGGATATTTTCTGTAGGGGAGCAAATACGCAGGAAATTTTCTGTAGGGGGGCAAATACGCAGGAAATTTTCTGTAGGGGGGGCAAAGGTACTCCCCACGCCCTCTATTGCCCTATTTGTCCCATTAAAAGGCATACTCTGAAAATCTCTAGGGGGGGCAACTGCCCCTGCTGCCCCCCTGCTGCGTACGGCCCTGCTCGAGAATAGTTTCAAATGCACTTCTTTACGGTATCGTATATAGCGCAAGTGCTAACGATGTAACCAGGTAGGTAGAGGTGGAGCCGAGCGCTGATAGCACGCATTTACTCTGCTCCAAAGTGGCGCTGCAATTCAGACTCACCTGGCCAGAATCAATTATAGCTTTATGTCAGAAACCAACGCTATCTATGAGAGCAGCCGGTTACCATGGAAACGATGAAAGACATGCACGATATTGGGTTGGTATTAACTGAGCAGAGGTCGCACGTGAAAGCTCAGGGGCATTAATAATACACCTACCTGCCTTATATAGCTTACCGTGGAAATTACAAGCTCGGTAAAGCCAGAGGCTAACGTTCCACTTGCAATAATTATTTGCCTAATGGTGGCTTGCCACTTGGGTCAGCAAGTGAATATAGCAAGTAGTAGTACATACATGCATATCGATAAACATCGGTTTCGTAAAATGATATGCACTCGCTAATGACACCACGCACGCTTTCTTGTAACGCACATGTATATATTTATATAAAATTACCGTTTTCCTAGCTATTTATAGTTTTTATACACACGATGTTATTGCTTATAATAATGTATTTATAGTCACGATTTTTCAGTTTAACGAACGCGGAAACAAGCACTCTTACTCTTAGTCTTACCTTCTTTGCTGAAACCTTTATACAAAGTGTCTCTTGTTCTCGGCGTGACAGGGCGCATGGTGCACGTGAAATTTTCTCCGGTTTTGCTATTCGCGAGTTCTAGCAGCGTGCCGCGCTTATCTGGTTGTCTCTTGTGGTACTTTTTTGTTGAGATGCTCGGAAGTTTTGTCGCCTCTATTTGGGGATCTTCGTCAGTTTTTTTTAGTAGGCCTGCTTGCGCGCCAGGGCCGATCCAGTCCTCTAACTCGTGTCCGTATTTTTCATACCACATTAGTCGAACCATCGCCTCTTTCTCGACGGATTCCTTCCAGAAGTTTTGCCTCTGCGTGTCCATGTTCAGTTCCCGACCCATCCTGACGGATTGCCGAATGGTGAGTGGGCAACAGGCAGCGTAGAGGATAGCAGTCGCAGGTAAAAATCAATAATCGTGTTTCGCGGAAATGATTGAGCGCTGCGTTGCGGTGTTAGCACACCTGGTTGCTATCAACGTGCTCCTTAGCAACGTGACGTCACAATAAATATTATGTGTTATGTGTTTCGCCACCTAGCGGCTACTTTATCAATATTTTGTTATGAGACGACCACAATGGGATCCTGTACTTGAGAATTGATTTTTAGAAGCTAAAATTAATTATTCAGACTATTTTTTGCTGAGTAGCGCAATTAAAGCTAGATGGGTATTGCTTTAGCTGAGGATACTTAAAATATTTTTGATATATATGTTATTCGCCAATATTATATAAAAAATTTGCGCAAATTTGCGCGGCCATTTACGCGGCCAAATTTACGCGGTTATACAGGCTATTAGTATTACAGCCAAATACATACCGTATGTTGCGGGAAATTTTTTAATTTTCATTTTCAATGCGCGCATTGCCGCATGCCTGCGGCAGTCTACCTAATGTGAAGATCACCGTATATTATGCGTATACATGCATAGCAGGAGTTAATAATGACAAATTGACAAAATGACTTTGTCATTAACTCCTGATGCAGAGACCACTGCATGAGCCATGAGCTGTAGTTAATGTTATCAGCCTGGAGTGAATAATAATAGATTATTATTATCTCAGGGGCGTGTACAGGGGGGGGGTCCAGGGGGTCCGGACCCCCCCCTGCTCGCCCAGAAAACGCATCTGAGGGGGTCTAATTTCAAAATTTTCGCGTGCTCGCAAGTTTGGGTTACGGTTAGACCCCCCCCCCCTTGGTACAAATCCTGTACACGCTCCTGTATCTGTTGTTGTTGTTGTTATTATTATTATTATGGTTAATTTTAAAGTGGATCACGGCATTAGCCGGTGGCTTCTGGTTTGACCGTGTCTCACATAGGGATTCAATCCAGAATTTTTCGCAGGATGTGTGCCCAGTAGTTATTATTGTTATGATTATGATTATTATTATTATTATTAGGATCTATTATTATCTATGGTTATTATTCATTCCTGATGTTATTATATACAGCTCATGCAGTAACACAGACTGGAAACTTACGCTAAAATCGTGTAATGCGATTGAATGGTGGTACCACGCATGAAAAGAGCAGTATGATTATGATAAAACTTGCTACAGTAGCAAACTATGATAATTAATAGTTTGACGAAGAATTTCTACACTCAAACATTTATATTGTTAATTCTAATATTCTAAAGTATATTTGAATCAATTAATTGAATGCTGAATACGTACGGTATACAATTTTATTAATTTCATACGTACACACACACACACACGCACACACGCACGCACGCACGCACGCACGCACGCGCGCACACACACACACACGCGAGGCCGCCACGCATCACACACACACGCACGCACACACACACTGGTGCGCGCGCGCACGTACACAATACACAGCACAGATATATGTGTGTGTATATATATATATATATATATATATTATAATATTATACAAAGGACGTGATATTAGAACTGTGAGCTTTACCAATAATATATATAAAACCAGTTTATGTTGACTAATAAACTAATTCTAATATACGGGCGGTGGGCCTATTGTTATATAGCCATAATAATTTAAGAGCTCAGCTAAATTTTCAATTGCACGGCAAAAAAACACAATTTGATCACACTCACACTAACGTAGTTATGGTTTGTTAAACGTGTGTGACATGCATATTTTTTACATATTCATATTATAGTGATCTGTTGGATTCATTGAATTTTTCTTTCTTGAATCATAGAAATTCGTCACTGCACTTCAGTTATGACTCCAATCTCAAGTCAACAAAGATCTATATACCGCATATACGTCATAAATATGACATATGCCATACTCATGAGGTTATCACATTATAGAAAATAGATATAATTTTATATACTCTCACAGTAGTACAGTACATAACAACAGCAGAACACTAAAATCAACTGTTGATTTAAGTGCTCTGACAACAGTGTGTTTATGGTGTGTGGTCTTTGATACCGACCGCTGTTTTCGCCCGGGGGCAGCACCATAGAAACGCTGTCCGGTAGCAAAATGGCGCCGTTTCCAGAAGATATTGATGTTTTTACTGTTCCACATTCGCGAATGAAGCAGTTAGTGCAAATATATTCACAAAAAGTAAGTTTAGCTTAATATTAACTGATTATAGGATGTAATGATTACTATAATTCTTGTCTTACGTTTGCGACATAGTGTGAAGTTAACGATAGGATAACTGCTCATCCCACACAATATGGCGCGTGTACTACTACTACTATTTACTATTTAGTACTAGTTACTACTAGTACTCAGCGGTGGTGGTACATTTTACAGGGTTTAAAAAAACTATTTTGTTGTATAAAATTAACTAATACTATCCTTGACAGACTACTGAGTAGATTATGCTGCCTATGGCTATGTATACTCAAGTAAATTTTGAACGAACAGTCATGGTGGGTCGTTTACAATTTTTCATTGCATTCGTCTTGTGAAATACATTGGTTCAAGGATAGAGAACATGGGTCCCAATAAAACCAATGTCATTTACATCAATATACAGGCTTTCAGATTTGAAAAGTACAGGAGGACTACTAATGACTCCCCTAGGACACCATAGGGGGACTTTTCACGCTCCATAATCACACCCTTAATAGGCATGATGGAGAGCTCCACTAAAAAATCACACCCTTAAGAGGCATGATGGAGAGCTCCACTAAAAAATCACACCCTTAAGAGGCATGATGGAGAGCTCCACTAAAAATCACACCTTTAAAAGGGATAATGGAGAGCTCCTTGAGGGCTCTCCATCATGCCTCTTGGGGTGTGATGATGGAATCATGACCAATCCTCAGTCTAGAGTGAAATCCAAAACGAAAATTGGGATGTCATGTCAATCTACTGATTATCATTCATCTTCACCTTCATTCATTCAATGGCTTCGTCAGGATTACATTCTTTTCATCCAACAACCCAACACTAGCACACAGATTAATAAAAGAGTTGATCGGATGTAAAAATAAACTTGTTTTATTTATTCTGATTTCCATCCTTAGAGATTCTAATCCATGTACCTGCATATTTCAGCACAAAATATCATCACAATCCATCAACAAACTAGCCAAATTACTTGTACGTAGTAGCCACGTATGTAGCCCCTCCAGCCCTACGACTGTTTCACGTCGGCAGAAAACCACTTCTCGCCATGTATAGTAGAAAACGAGCAGGTAACTTGTGGCTACCGTATAGGTACCTGTATTTGGATGCTGTTGTTTAGTTGTATTTATATATATATATATAAACCAGAGGGTAGTAACCAGACCTGTACCTCTGCCATACGTTCAGTCACTTACACACCACAAATTGTGTGTTTCTAACCTTTTTGTACCCCCCTACATTGAGAACTCTATTGCTATTGCTATTGCTATCTCTCGCGCTATTTCAACATAATAGACATACTTTTGGTGCGCGATTTCAACCACTTTTATGAGGCGCGATGATGCGCGCACCATGGGACAATTTGGGGTGCGCGGTGGAGCGCGAGCGCGATTGCGCCCCTTAAAAATGAAAGCCTGAATATAAATATAATATATCAATATAATAGGTTAGGGTTATGGTTAGGGTTAGGGTTAGAATTAGAATTAGGGTTAGGGTTAGGGTTAGGCACATTGGTTTTATTGGGACCCATGTTCTCTATCCTTGGGCCGTTAGGGCCAGGGTTAGAATTAGGGTTAGGGTTAGGCACATTGGTTTTATTGGGACCCATGTTCTCTATCCTTGGGCCAAAACTTTTAGTTAGCTTAGTTTCCAAGCATTGCCACATTGAGCATCATAAATTCATATATCATGAATGTTCGTAGACAGTCTACTAGACACAATACCAGTTCTTGATTGCTACACAAAAATGTTCCAAAAATGCCAGGTTTAGCACAAACAAGCCTTGAAGTTGTAAAGTGATAAATGTATTGGCCCAAGGATAGAGAACATGGGAGTTTTTGTTACGAGTTTGTAAAGTTCTTACGATACATGACCATTTCTTGGAGCTAAGGTACAATAACGTAATCCTGCAACCCGCGTTCAGGGTTGAGTTATCGTATCTGCTGTAATTTGCTGTACTGTATTGCCTGGCACTGGGAACAACATGTAACCCTAACTGTTTGCACTGCTCACAAGATCAGAAAATGCCTGTGGTTCACTGGTTGTCATGTTTGAAATCGACTTACTCAATCCGAATATGATCGTAGTAGCATTTGGTTGACTACAGCTGACGGTCGTATAGAGGGTTTATGTATTGCTAGCATATCCCAATTCCCTGCCTTATTTGTGACTTTGACCAGTCAATTCAAAACTACACTTTATATAATCCTGAAACCTAATCTATGCAGGAACTGCAGTACGTAAAACAAATGTTATAACTCTGATTATGGTTATCTATCAAATTGTCACAATAATTCCTAGAACTATGCATGTTTCACTTGTTATCAAGTTCATGCTCACAATGATAAGGCAGTCATGCATGATGTGTATCAGGTACCTTTAAATATACAACACTCATAGGCTAGCGTGAATCTATCAATAAAGTGCTAACTTATAGGGTTCATTTTCTTCTAAAAATGTACATGAATCATAAATGAACTGGGTTTCTTTATTTTGTACAGCTTTTGTTTATTTTTCAATTTCTACAGGGTACATTGCATATATATATATATGCATATAAATGATATAGTTTTTAATCGCATTATTATCAATGATAACATTTAGTATATATCTATGTGAGTTTTAATATAACAGGTGGCTAATTTGATTTGCATGATATGCTATTTGTAATTTTTATCAATGCTGTCAAGTGTTTTTTATTCTGTTGATTTCTGGATTAATTGTGTTGTCCATTGGTTGAAGTCATCTACTTGTAACGGATAGGCAAATTTAGCTATTTGAAAAATGCAATAAACCTCCAGTCTACTAGAAAAAGAAGTATTTACTGCCATTCACTTTATTGTATATGCTCTGAGGTACTTAGTACAATTTTATAACATCGGTTGTTTATATTTAGCTTACAAGCACAAACTTCAAGAACTACTGTGATTTCGAAAACCTTCTAAGTGACCTGTATGCAACATTCATTGAGTTCAAGACACATGAAAAGATTGAGAATGAGGAAATTATGAAACGATTAAAACTTAAATTAAAGGTAAGTAGCCAATAAATGATTGTAATGATAACATTAAATAGCAATGAATTATAAATGATGGTAGAGCTTAAAGTTATCTGGATATAGAACTGAACATTTTATATAAATTTTATCATGCTTTGCAAGGTAGCAGATTGTTGTTGCTCATTGTTTCTGCTGTGTATAATTGCTCATTCAGTTTGAATTTGTGCATTTGAACAACATTGAAAAGAATGATAGGACGAGTAACCAAAATTTGAATGCCACGCTTGCAATGGCGAATTTATGTTATACAGTGGAATCCCGATTTTATGCGAAGTCGGATCTAACGCGATGAGTCATTGGACTCCCTTTTTTTGCTCTTATATAGCCATGTATATATAACTCGATTTAGCACGAACCCGTTTTTCCGCGATGACATTTAATGGACCCCTACCATCGTGTTATAATGGAGCTACACTGTACTTCGGACCAATAATGATCTGACTGCGCTCCTTCTGAATCGACTGCATCGTGACGATAGCGACGACGGGAGGTCTTCAGTCTCTGACTGCTTTCAGGCGCTGTCGATCAGCAACAGCGCTGTCTGTAACTGCCACTCGGACAACCGGCTCTCCGAGATGCTGGAGCTCTTTCACAACGGCTTCCGCTGCAACCGACGCACGGACCTTGAGAGGCTGCGATTCGCCGCCGAGCTGCGCTTCGCCCTCGAGGACTTCACGGGGAAGTTCATCCCGCACATGCAGGAGGAGGAGGACGTCTTCCAGCCGCTGCTCATGAAGTATTTCACGTTCGACGAGCTGCGCCATATGAAGGATGTTGTACTGACACGACACGAGCGATGGAAGGAGAATCGCGACGAGGTCAAGTGAGTAGCGAACGTGTGAAGCCATCCTTCCCTCACGCACGCTTCCTCAGGTCGTGCTTTGACCCGCTCCGCACGCTGCCCCGGTTGATCTCCGCATGCTTCCTCGGTTTGTGCCTCAATCCACCCGCTTCGCAGGCTCCCCTGGTTCATGCCTCGAACCGCTCCGCATGCTCCCCTGGTTCGTGCCTCGACCCAGCCGCTCTCCACTCTCCCCCGGTTCATGTCTCGATCCGCCCGCTCTGCACGCTTCCCCGGTTCATGTCTCGATCCACCCGCTCTGCACGCTCCCCGGGTTCATGTCTCGATCCACCCGCTCCGCATGCTCCCCTGGTTCATGCCTCGACCGACCGCTCTGCACGCTTCCCCGGTACATGCCTTGATCCGCCCGCTCCGCACGCTCCCTCGGTACATGCCTCAATCCATTCGCTCTGCATGCTCCCCCGGTACATGTCTCGATCCGCCCGCTCTGCACGCTCCCCCGGTACATGCCTCGATCCGCCCGCTCCGCACGCTCCCTCGGTACATGCCTCGATCCATTCGCTCTGCATGCTCCCCCAGTTCATGCCTCGATCCGCCCGCTCCGCACGCTCCCTCGATACATGCCTCGATCCGCCTGCTCCGCATGCTCCCCTGGTACATGCATCGAACCGCTCCGCATGCTCCCCTGGTTCATGCCTCGAACCGCTCTGCATGCTCCCTGTGGTCATGCTTCGACCCGCCCGCTCCGCATGCTCCCCTGGTACATGCCTCGACCGCCTGCCCTGCAAGCTTTATTTGTGCTCTCTTCAGGTATTGTTTCCTTAATGACAGCAGGTATTCAACTTGATGTGAATGGTGTTTATAAGTTGTCAAATGCTTAACATGCATTGTCGATCTTACAGGGAGATGTTTCTCAAGGAAGAGAAACAGGACAAGGAGAAGTGTAACAGTGAGCAGGTGGAGAAGGAAAGTGAAAGCAAGGATGAAATTGAGAAGGGTGAGTGTATTTTTAATGTGTAGGGGTCAATGCATTACAGGTTAGTTATGGAAAAATATTAATTGTCTATTTGTTTGTGACTTCTCATCTATAACGGTTAGATTAAACTTCATCGTCAAAAACAAAATAACACCAAATGCCTTGCAGGCTTTCTTGAGTACAGTCAGGTGACCCATTCACACGGTACTTATAGATAGATGTACTTCCTTCTCGTCAATTCTAGAATCGACAGCAGCCATTTTGGATCTACCTCCGGAAATTGCGTCGCAGGTGTTTTCACACCTAGGTGCGAGAGATTTGCTACGCTGCGCCCAGGTGTGTCGCCACTGGTCAAAGCTTGTCGTGGATCCTGTACTCTGGACACACATACGACCACTGGCATGGGCACAAGGTCTGAAACTCATGGGTACTGGGTACTCCAGTCTAGGGATACATTTAGCAATATAGCGCTGACTGTATGTGTACTAACCATCTTGTTCTTGCTAGTCAGTTAGGGAAAATTCTCTTAGACGCCTCCATGTTGAACTTGACCGAAGAGCAAACAATGATTTATTAATAGCTTGTCTTGTTCTGTGTGCAATGCTCCCAGTGTGTTCTGCGTGAATGTACAGTGTGCTTCTAATGCAAACTGCGTAATAAAAACAGGGTTGACATGCCTGCTTATTAAAATTAATAATATATTCATCGTAGAAAAGCCAGAAAGCCAGGACAAGAAACACGAATAAAACATGGGTTGAGCGAAAGTTGTACTCTGGCCTCGAGGTGTGCGCGTCTGACGCGTTTACTCATGTTGTGCAGGTGACATGGTGATGGACAAAAGAGTAGCCCCTGAAGTGGGAAAAATCGCCCCGGAAAATTGAAAAAGTAGCCCCCGAATTTGTTTAAGTAGTTGGAAAATGAACCCCGGAAATAAAAAAATAATGTTTTCCCTGTTTGTCACGCATTTGCTCGTGTTGTGCAGGTGACTGGAGCATACGGGAGCCGAGTGAGGAGATGGAACCGGACGAGTCCGTGTCACTAAACGACGCTGACGACGACCCGGACAGCTACAAGTCGTCACATCGAGACGAGGATGCAGACATAGATGAGTCGAGTGATAGCGAGTCGACTACGAGCATGGGATCAAACCACGACAGCAGCAATGGTACGTGTATCGTTAGATTAGACACACAGTCAGATTAGTGACAGCACAGGTGCAGGCAACAGCCTCGGTAACAGCACAGCGGCGTGCAACAGCATCAGCAACAGCACATCTGTATACAGCGGGTTTAGGCTCAATTAGCAATACACATGCCTATCCCAATAAGAACTTTGTGTGTAAGTCCTGTGGGTAAGAATACCTGTGTGTAAGTCACACTTTTTTGTACACAACTTCAATAAAAAAATCAGGGGTGTTGCACATTATACATGAGGCTAAGAAATCTAGCAAAAATGTTTGCACCAACTTTTCAACGCAAAATATTGTGTGCGAGTTATACACTAATGCGATTTATACACGAGTAAATACGGTTCAACTGTATACCCGGTTACTGTTGTGCTTCTCAGGCGACAGAATAAAAATATCACTGCAGTGAAGTGTTCTTGTAATAAGTGTGTTGTGCGTTTCTCTAGATGACTATGTGGAGCAGCGGTGGCGTCTCGTCCGAGAGATGACCGTGATGGCAGGACTAGCAAAGCACCTCATAGCGAAGATCGGTAGTGGAGTGAAGACACTGCATCTGTCCAAAAGTTTCGGCATCCACAACAGAACGGTAGGTGTGCATGCGTGCGTGCATGTGTGCGTGTGCATGTGTGTGTGTGTGTGTGCGTGCGTTCGTGCGTGCGTGCGTGTGTGCACGCGCATATGTGTGCGTATGCATGTGCATGTGTGTATTGGGAGGTAGAGATAACATTGCTCCGTCGTGATCTGAGTGCTTCGCTTGTCTATAATTTATTAACACGATGATTGAGAACAACAAAAGTTTTGGAGCAGTGTAGGTCCGAGATCTGAGAAGAGATGTTGTGGTTCGTTTGTGTCACGTAATGTATTGTGAAGTAATGTTTTCACCTGTGATGAATCTACACACTACAGTACATAGTGACAAACTGACAATGCTGTTCGTTTGCAGGTGAGAAAGATCTTGTCTTGCTGTCCAAATTTGGAGCACCTTGACTTATCATACACGGACATGAATGACACAGCATTCAAAGGGTATGTTGCTAAAACACTACTATTGCCTAATTGCCCTCCTGCTAAGATGTGTACCCTTCTGTGCCACTATAAAGATATTCTTGTGTCAATGTCGATTCCGGTTGCACGTTATTTTTTTGGCCGCGGATGCAATTTCTAATGCAATTAGAATCCAATAAAAAATGAAACTCCAACTAGTGTATATATTGTCTCTATATTCATAGTGTTCTAGTTCTAGTTCATAGTTTCATAGATGGTATATTTATAGCTTCTAGTGTATATATTCATTGATTATGTGTTTTTATTCGATTTCTAATTGAACATCGTGTATCGTTGCGCAGCTTGGACGGCTGCCTCACCAAGCTACGTCACCTCGACGTGAGCGGATGCATTAACATCAGCAACCACGGACTCGAACGTCTCGCACTTTCCCTGGTCGAACGCGGCAGCGTCGCCACGGAGACGACCGACTGGGGCGGCGGCGTGGCGCCGATGAGCGGCGTCGAGGAGGCGATGGTTGCCCGCGGTGACGGCGCGTTCGAGTGCGGCCGCGGCGACAAGTGCTGCCGCATGCAACAGAATCTGGTCGCTGTCGTCGCGGCGCCACCTGGTGGCGAGGCGATGGACGTCGACGGGGACGGCTCGGTGGGTGCGATCGAGAACTGCCACGTGGTGAGCCCGCGCGCGGCGCGCTGTCAGATGGTGGGCGGCGACTGCGGCGTCTACAGCATGGCGGTCGAACTCGACGCATACTGCCGGCGCGAGGTGGCGCCACAGTGCGTGCCCGACGGTGGCTCCATCTACACCGCCACGCCCGGCGGAGGCACGCGGCGGGTGGACTGTAGAAGCGTGAGTAGGACGACGGCGGGATCGCCACCAGGTGGCAGGCTGGTCTTCCTCAGTCTCTCCGGCCTCGCACTGATCACTGACGACGGCCTGCGGTAAGTCTCGCTCGTGGAACAATGGTAGCAGCTGCATCAGCAACAATGTACACAGAGCGTCATCCCTAACCTAATTTTATTAACCAATTCTAACCGCGAAATTGTTCCTCAAGAGTCTGATTCACCATTTTATAGCAAGTCCCTGCCTGTGCACTTGCAACAGCAGCCGGGTGCATATGGAATAGTCGATAAATACACATAGTAAATAAGTAGCATAGGTGTGCGAAATTTGTTGTTCAACGAACCAGACAGGTGCCTCTGTTATAGGTTATAGGTCTCTCGGTTCGATGTGAAATTTCTGAGCCCCAGTGCCAGTGTTGTTTTGTTACTGTCGAATGTAATTGTGATACACAGACGTGTTTTTTATTGACATTGTGTAGATGTACAGTGTTTACACAGCACAAGGTTACCACTTGCTTATTCAACTAACCAAGTTTGATAGAAACAGAAGCTAATCTGTTTTTGTCTAGAAAGTTTCCATGTCTGGAGTCCATGCAAAATTTGATCGGGTTGATGTAAATGGGTTAGATTTACGGGAGACAAATTTTACTTTTTAAGGGCAAGGCAAGCATTGCATTGTGTTTAACCCAAAATTCAAGGGCACCAAGGCAAATATTTTTTTAAAAGCTCTGTCAAGGCCACTACATTTTTAACAACGCTTTTTATTTCGGGCAAAGAGAGATGAATGTACACAAGATGGCATTTATGGGAATGGACAGTAAAAACAGACCCAATATTTTATAGTAAGCACGCTTAGCACGGTGGTTTATTACCGAGGATATCGACCTGTTTTCAGGGCCGAGATCAAGTGCTGGCAGTTGCACAGTGAAATACATGAGCCCTAGATTTAGGTCACCCTTAAATGATTCCTTGTTTGCCACAACCTATTGCTGCTTTTCTTGTATGCCCGATCACACCCCTATCAGCTGTTGTTGTGGTGTAGTTCACATCCTCCTAGAATGTAGCATGTTTGTGAGCATTTTACGATGGATTGGTCCGTGGATATCAGTGGATGATAAATGCACATCCACAGGTAGATTCTACATGCTTCATTGATGCAGTCCACTCGCACGTACTTACACTATGTGTGTGCGTGCGTGCGTGCGTGCGTGCGTGCGTGCGTGCGTGCGTGCGTGCGTGCGTGTACGTGTGCATGTGCGTCACGTGTACGTGAGTGTGTGCGTGCGTGCGTGTGCGTGCGTGTGTGCGTGCGTGCGTGCGTGTGTGTGTGTGTGTGTGTGTGTTGGTGTGTATAGTAATCCCTGGGAGTGTTATGAGTCTATGACCTAGATGCTCCATCTCTGGAAGTCTCTATCTACAAACTTGACCTAGTTAGCGCATAGTCTACTCTTCCTCACACCGGCTCCCATATGTATATATTCGTAGCTGAAGCCTTGAGAATGTGTTGAGAGAGTGTTGAGTTTGCAGCTGACCTGCTTATAAACATGACTAGCTAGTCTCAACGTATCCGTATGAGTTTGTTGTTGACCGGTGTAACGTATAACGCATAAGTCACTGGTTGGTTGTAACTTGTAAGCAGAGCAAAGTAATTCGATACATGAGAAGCGGCAACTGCTGCTGTCCTGCTCTGCTACTTGTTGGCGATTGACCCATCCGCTTGACCGATTAAATCGCAGGTCAAAGTCACCCAGGTTTAGCTATGCACACACGTGCACACACGCCCACATGTCATCTTGACTGAAATTTGTTATGAAGCTTTGGTAGAGCTGCCTGTCAGTACTGCCAGGCTAAGAGTTGTTATTATTATTAATATATATATATATATATATATATATATCAGAAGTAGATAATAGACATATATTAATATACAGTGTATCCCCGTTATAACGCGATGGTTGGGGTCCATAAAATGTCATCACGAAAAAAGCGGGGTTGCGCTAAATCAGGATTATAAGAGCTATATACGTGGCTATATAAGAGCAAAAAAAGGGGGTCCAACGACTTCGCGTAAAATCAGGGTTCCACTATATATGTGTGTGTGTGTGTATTATATATTATTATAATTACATTATTATTACTGCTGTAAGTTTCACTGCTCTGTCTTGCTGCAGGTGGTTTGTGAACATCGGAGGTCTGCCGCTACTGCAGCACATGGACATGTCCGGCTGTTTCCAACTGACTGGCGAGAGCATTGCCGCAGTCGTCGACAGCGCCACCTACCTGCCGCCGCACAAGCTGTTCTATTGCGACAACATTCTCGATGGGCCGTACCCGCAGGATGCGAGCGGCTGCAGCAACCTGGAGTGCGGCAGCCGCTTCTGCTGCCGCGCCGGATATTGAGGCAGCGGCGGCGGCGGCGGCGGCGGACGGTTGCAAGGCGTGTGTTTTCAGATGGCGTCCCATGCGGTTGGTGTCCCGGTGATGTTGTTTCGATGACCCCCGTGTCTCGATGACCCCTCTGTCTCGATGACCCCTCTGTCTCGATAACCCCCCTGTCTCGATGACCCCCCTGTCTCGATAACCCCTGTGTCTCGATAACCCCCGTGTCTTGGTGACCCCATGTCTCGATGACCCCCGTGCGCCTCGGGTTACGGACCCATTCTTTACAGCATTTATTTAAATTCCTTTATTCAGAATTTGATCACTGTTTATTCAATTTATGCATCTGCTCTGAGTGCCTCACCCAAAATTTTGCCACGTGTTTTTTTTATCAAGTGCCACATCAGGAAAGTTGCGCTGTACTCGAATAAATGCTAACGCTATAGTACGCTAATTAATACCGCCGTCCAATCATTCTTTATCACTGTGCAATGGTTCGATATCAGTAGAGAAAGTACCAATATGCTGAATTCCAATGTGCCCAGAACTCCTTCAAGTGCACAGTTGCAGGTTCAATGGAAGCCATACAAACCTTCATCGGTTTTTACCGCCTATGCTTTTCTGTAGCATTTATCCTAGGCAAAATTGCTAAAGTGGGGCTTTTGTTTAATAATAGTAGTAGCTGTAGAATTTCCTCTAGTTATATATATATATATAATGTAGGCATTCATACAATTGTGAGCTCACCATTACAGCACAGAATGTACAACTGTGAGCCTGTATGTATAATATGTTATCGCTTGTGTAACTGACTATTGTGTATTCTGCATTATTGTGATGAACATTCTAAGCAAAACGAGTAGACTCCTGCAACTGCTGGAATTGAAATGTTGCCAAGATATTTTTCACTAATAGAGAGCTGTAGAGCTTGAACGTTTTGTTGATCGAATGGCGGCCTCTAGTTCATTGTTGTCGTAAATAACCTGCGTGAGTCTGCGTTGTTCGCGCATGAACGTGAGAAGTGCAGTGCCGCATTTCACAGATATTTGTGCCCCTGAGCGTGGTCTACTGTAGAATATTGACTGCAGCCGGGTTTCAGGCATGAATCGCCTATATCGTGCGCTACTATTGGTTGCAAGGATTTGTTTTTTGAGTGATAAATGATACTTTTCTGTTTTGGAAAAAAAAGATCATAAGATAAGCTCCACCCCATCCAGGTACCTGACTGTAAATGTGGGTTTCTTGGTGGCATTGTAATATTAACCATGTTATTTGGAAAAGAGGGCCAATATGAGGACGAATGTTGAGTTATAGTATCATAGTTAACATATCTTTATGTCAGATTTGGTTGTGGTAGCATAAACTACAGAAACATACTTTTTAACTGTTATTATTCTGAACTTTGTAAGAAACAGCAATACCTAATGTTGGATGGGACATTTATCGTTTTCCAGGTGAAACATACATATTCCACGTATTCTGGGTTATATTATACACGTATTGTTTTTGCTGTTGGTAATCACTGTATTATACCTTTCATATTTTTAATTTGTGCTCCCACTTTGCTCATCAGCAGCCGGGTGTCTGCTGGATTAAGATGCTTTGATGAGTCTTTTCCTATTTATAATATGTATGTCTTTACTATAAATTTGTTCTGAAACTCGTGTTAAAATGTAAACTTACAATGAAACAATCAACATGTATATAACTGCATGCCTAAATTGTTTCAATTGTTACCATGCTATTGAAGGATATGATTAATTCAGCATTATTTTACGGCAGTTCTGGCGGTGATAAAATATTATTAGGTCAGTTGGAAATGGTTGGAACAAATCTGATATGAGCAAAAGATTGCTATATCTAAACTATTGCGCTTTCGCCCTGCAATTTTTTCATATAAAACGACTGTGTATTAAATCGGTATTTATCCTGGATAAAACTGGATGATAATAAACACAGATTTGATACCATGTAATGATGACTGTTTATTTATACCTTATAACCAACCTTATTGTACACCATTGACATTGACATTTACATTGTCAACTAGCTGTCCAACAATAAGAGCACTTCTGTATATGCCGGACACAACAGCCAGAGCTTTACAACACGTTATAAAAACGATACCCTGCCGTTAACAGGAGTGTATAATATAGAGATCTCTATTAGATTATCTTTGTATCATACACTCCTGTTGTCAATACATGGCTGCCTGCACACAAACTGCCAGCTGGGCAGAAGTTCAAAGGCTGGGCAGAAGAATCGGGGTCCCCACAGCCCTTGAAAGTCCTTGAATTTAATTAATACCCAATATATTATAATACCGTTTCATTCTATCAGGAGTAGATAATAGGGATCAGGAGTAGATAATAGTTCCCTATTATCTACTCCTGATTCTATCTATATGTCTATCTATTTATATGGTACTTTAATCTATATCCCGTCTATATCCTATCTTGTTATATTCTCTCGGGAATAAGTGATCCACTGATACCCCATCTCCCAAATGGTATCGCCTACGACCTCGTTAGCACGGTGAATTTTATTCAGGCAAATGGCTGGTTTTCAGCCTCAACGTTTTCACCCCCAAAGCACAAAATATGATTATACGGCTATAATACGCGTTTTTACAGTCACACAAACACACATACACGCACATTAACGGACGCGCGCACGCGGGTATGGTCGCACGAGCGCGTGCGCGTGTATTATCGGCGTAAATTCACATTTTGTGCCGCGGGGGGTTAAAAAGTTTTGGCTGAAATACGTTAATTTGCTGTTTTTCCATGCTTGACTGGTCGTGGGCGATACTATCCGCGAGAGGGGAGTAAGGAAGTGAGGAAGAGGAAGAAACGGAGAGAGGCGAAGGAAATAGAGTGAGAGAGGGCGGACAGAGAAGAGAAGAGGGACGTGCTCTCCCATGAAAATATAATTAATATTAAATATATCTAAATAAATAATAATAGATAATATATATTTAGGTAGATAAATAATTAATATACTTTTCACCATGCGACCGATGCCTATGACAATACTATCCACGAGAAGGAGTGAGGAAGTGCCAAGGCAAAGATATACGCGAAAACGGCGAACTATATATATATATATATATATATAATACTCTTACCTTATATATATATACTATATTATATATATAAATATTATAATTATATACACGTGTCCTAGCGTCCGAGAAAAAGCAAAATGCGAGAAGAGGAAGAGAGTTATTTGGTGATTAGTATTATATGTGAGCGATTATTATGGGTGGGTTGTATTGGTATTGGATTGGTGTGCGTGTTTTGTTGTGGTGTTCGGGGTGTTCTTGTATGATATGGAAAGTATTTCTTACGCTGTGATATTGTGTGTGTGTATTGGGGTGGGGGTGGATGGTGGCGGGTGAGGAGGTGTGGGTGGCGATCGAGAGGAGTGGTTGTTGGAGTGTTGTGGGTGGTGGGGAGTGGGAGTGGGCGGTAAGGGGCGGAGGAGATATTTAACTAAGTCGTATATTGGAAGAACATCGCAGTCTGTGCGCTGCGTTGGTGTGCCGTACGTGCGTTTGTCTGCGCGTGTGTACTGCGCATACGGGTGCACATCTCAGTCTGCATTCTTCCCTCTCCCCTTTCTCTCCTCTTTTTTTCCTCCTCCCCTCTCACTCCCTTCTCCTCAGTATTTCCCTCCCCCAGCCCCTCTCGCGGATAGTATCGCTCACGGCATCAGTTGCACGGTGAAAAGTTAGCCAGGCAAATGGCCGGTTTTCAGCCTCAACTTTTTCACCCCCCCCCCAAGCACAAAATATGATTATACGGTTATAATACGCGTTTTTACAGTCACACAAACACACATACACATACACACACACTAACGGACGCGCACACGTGGGTATGGTCGCACGCACGCGTGCGCTTGTATTATAGGCGTAAATTAACATTTTGTGGCTCGGAAGGGGGTGTGAAAAAGTTTCAGCTGAATTACGGCCATTTGGCTGACAAACTTTTCACCGTGTTCTCGACGCCGTGGGCGATACCATCCGCGAGAGGGGAGTAAGGAATAAGTGATTACTTTTATTCACTGTTAATGTTACTGCCTGACACAGCAGATGAAAGGTCAGCATAAAGAACCGGCAACTATTTATTATTATTATTAAATCTTTATTGCATGTAATTCAACTACAAATACATGAACTGAAGACATGACAGTCAGAGTCTTTGTATGGAGAAAAAATCGGATAAATGCAATAGTGTTGAGCAATTAAAATAATAATATTTCTGAGTGATACAGTACATTGTGTGATACATAGTTCTGAGTGATACATGTTACATCAACGCTTTACATATTGTTAAAGGACCGTCACATGAATCTACGTGAATGACAATATGAAACGACTATTGTGTACGTCGGTAATCGGCGAGCTATAGCGGCTGTTTAATCTGGCGTCGGCACTCGTGTAAAACAACTATTTTCACTTTATATATGAATATAAGGTATATATGATGACTCTAAAGGCTAAAACCACTTGTCACAGATTGTCCTTGAAAACAACACATCTCCTTGAAAAGTCCTTGAAAAAATAATTAACACTTTTGTGGGAACCATGTAGAATGCTTGTGTGTGCATTTGTAAGGTTGTATACATTGCTTGGTACTGTTCCCAGTGCCCCCCTGACGACTTCCTGCTCCGGAGATTCGTCAATGTCGATAAGAAATGCTTAACCATCCAGAAACGCGCTTGGGCACGAGCGTAGGCTATAAAGGGGATAGACTGAGAGCAGCAGTGCTAGTGCCAGCGACGGCACGTACCCGCACGTCTCCGCGACGCCACCCAGCGCGACGGTGAGCGCCATCTTGCCAAGCACCTCGGCGGTCGCTAGCAGCGTGTAGTGCGTCGCCTGGCAGCGAGGCGGGGCGTTCCGCGAGCACTGCATCATCAACGTGAACGTTGCCGTGGTGACGACACCGCCGTGGAAGTGAAGGAGGCAGAGGCCAGCCAACGAGGAGAAGTCTGTGCGCGGAAGATCGAAGAAGCCAGAGTTATTCATAAGTTAAAATGTCAGTGGAACTCGTCTTCATAATCATTATTATCAGTATTAATAGTCGTAGTAGTAGCATTTGCAGTAGCAACTATTTATGTCTGTGCCATTCACTTTAATTATTATTAGCTCATCTGACATAGTCAGATGCAGCTTGTAGAATCGCATGATCGTCCGTCCGTGCGTCCATCCGTGCGTCCGTCAACAGTTAGGCACAAATCTTAACCGCTCGACGTACGGTCACGATATTCGGGACGTGGGGGGGGTAATCCGAAAACGAGTTGGGATGTCGAAGCTGGGGGTCAAAGGTCAAAGGTCAAGAGGTGTAAAATAAGGGGGAACATTCACTCCTTAACTTAACCCCTTAACAGTTTTTGACGAGTTAACTCGCAATTATTTACTGTTCCGGTAAGGTTTATGACGAGTTAACTCGCAACGATCGTAACCTTCTTTCTTTTATGGTTTTTGACGAGATAACTCGCCTGCATTGAAAACTGGTGCGTTGTACGATAGATGGCGCAATGTAGGCGTTTCAAAACATGGCTGCCAAACGAAAAACTTGGTTGAATTTGGACGAAGCAAGAGCTTTACTAAGTGATTTGGAGTCCGATTTCAGTTCTACTTCTGATGAATTTAGTGACAGTGGACAGGAGATAAATTCGACTGTCTCAAGTGAAGCGGACGACACATTGCCTGATGATAATAATAACAATGATTCTGTGCACGATGCGAGTAGTACTAGTACTAGTAGTAGTGAAAGTGATGCCGATGGCACAGCAGGCCCCAATGCAGGTGCTGCTCGTCCAGTGTGGAAATGGTCCCGCAATATCCAGAAGCCCAATGAACTTATTTTTACTGGAACCCCGGGCATAAAGGTGCACCTTTATAATGTGACAGACCCTTTAGAATACTTTGAGCTCTATTTTGATGAGGGTCTGATAGACATGATTGTGGATGAAACTAATAGATTTGCTCAACAGTATATTCAAGTGGCAACCTGAAACCGAAATCCCGTGCAAGAAAGTGGACCCCAACTAACAGCAATGAGATCAGGGTGTTTCTTGCTTTGTTGATACTCCAAGGTATAGTTCACAAACCTGTTGCTGAATGGTACTGGTCAACAAGGACACACTTTCGACACCTATTTGCTTCAGTGATGTCTGTCAACAGATTCAAACTCCTCATGCAATTTCTCCATTTTGTGGACAATACAACGTTTGATGCGGACAATGATCCCAGCCCTAAACTCTTAAAACTGCAACCTGTGCTTGACTATATAGCTGAGAAATTTGGTGTCAGTCTACACCCAGAGAGAGAGATTTCAATAGATGAATCATTGATGCTGTGGAAAGGCCGTCTTGGGTGGAAACAGTACATTCCAATCAAGAGAGATCGTTTCGGGATAAAATCATTTGAACTCTGTGAGTCTTCTAGTGGATATATATGGAAGTTCATTGTATACACTGGGAAAGAGGCTAATCTAAAGAGAGATGGAAAACTTCTATCGACCAGTGTAGTTCTTGATCTAGCTGAAGACCTTTTAGACAAAGGCTATAAGATTTATATGGATAATTTCTACTCAAGTCCAGAACTTGCCCAGATTCTTGTAGACAGAAACACTGATGCTGTTGGAACCCTTCGACTCAACAGAAAAGGTAATATGGCACTTCATGTTTCACATTTCATCTTTATTTTTCTGGTGATTTATTGTAAAAAAATAAAGAAATACGGTAGTATACTTACTGAATCCTCCTCTGCTTAATATCTTTTCAGGTGTACCAAAAGATGTGAAAGATAAAAAGCTGAAGGCAGGCGAGGTGATCGCCGCCAGTGTGGCAGGTTGACGGTGATGAAATGGAAAGACAAAAAGGATGTTTCCCTACTCAGCACTGTCATGATACTAGCATGGCTAATGTGACTACCCACAAAGGAGAGAGGAGTAAACCCAAAATAGTTCTTGAATACAATAATTCAATGGGAGGAGTTGACCTTAGTGACCAACTTTTGCACAGTTACCCCCTAACCCGGAAGCGCCAAAAAAAATGGTATAAGAAAATGTTTCGTCATGTTATGAATATGTGGTTATAAATGCATACTGTCTCTACAAGAAAAACCCAGCAAATGCCAACACCGACCAGCTGGACTTTCGCTTGCAACTGGTTGACAGAACTGATGGAAGAGTATAGAGATGGTGATGAACAGCCAAAGAAAGACGTCGATCGACAGATGGTGTTGCGGAACGTCTGAAGGGGCGCCACTTTCCCTCAGTTATCCCCCCGACAGAGAAAAAAACCAACCCAACTAAGAGGTGTAAAGTATGCTGCTCTCACAGTGATGACCAGGGGAAGAAACAGCGAATTGAATCCCGTTACTACTGTGAACAATGTGATGTTGCTCTGTGTGCTGCCCCCTGTTTCAAGGTATATCACACCTTGAAACACTATTAGCACATGGAAATTACAGAAAGACAATTTTCTGTAAGTTCTAATATTTATTTGACTTATAAAACAAGTTTGCTAACATTATTAGAGAATATTTGCACTTTTCCGAAAAAATGGTAAAATCATTAAAACAATGAAACCCTGGGGGTGGGCGCTAATTAAAAAAAAAAACTGTTAAGGGGTTAATGCAACGATGTCAATTCAAGATTACAATACTCCGCTTGTATGGCTTGAATGAGTGTTACATACATGTCATACATTTGGCAAAGTGTTACAACTTTAAGTACAATAGTGTATGTTAGAAGATTAACTATAGTGCCTATATAATTAGCGCGTCTAATTGTTAATAGCGAGCATCTTAAAAGGGTCGCGATGAAGATGAGCGGAATTCCGAACCGAATAAAAAGCGCCTTTGTCGAGAGCCAATTGTATCATTTCAATTGTTACGATGATTTCAGACTGAGTTAGCAAGTCTTAAGCGATGAAGAATGCATGGAAAACGCTTGTTTAAGAAGCAGCAGATATTCGCAGCAACCCACAACCAACACCCCGTCCTAGAGGCTTTCGCAAGTCTTTGAATGAAGGGAATCCGGTCATTTATTACCACCGAAAATGCGAGTTATTTTAGCCATGAAAAAGCTTTTTGGATAAGATCTCTCAGGCAAACGCGACTACTTATTGATGAGAATCGCAGGAAATGGTCAATAAGAGGCCTCTCGCATTCGAGGATCCGTTCACGCCTTTTGTTCACGGTAATCCTGAACAATACGAAACGTGTTTGTATTTTCTGTGAAAAGTCTAGCTAAATATCTGAAACGGGGCAAGAATCGTGAGACTTGATCCAAATGTTGTGTATGGCGTGCAGATAACTCCATCAGAAAGACGCGCTACTGAAAATAACGATTAGCGGATTCTCGCCATTGTATCGCGCGAGTTTAAGTGGCAGCAGAGCGTTCTAAGCCATAGGACATGTTACGCAGAAGTATATACTAGACCAGAAGCTAAGCTGCTGCAATAGCATCTAACGGATGTAGCCGAATCTCCTATGAGAAGTATGCGCCGCTCTAGGAGTCTGAATTCTTACGCAGATGCTTTTGACTACATCAGATCAAAAGAGGGGGGGGGCTGTATAGAAATGAGAAAGTTGTTAGATTGGCCTGAAATGAGAGTGCTACTCGAAACGTTTCTCTAAGCTTCATGCGGAGCGCGCGAGTGTAAGCAGTCACAAAGAAGCAATATTAGAAGAAAGTAGAGGCTGAGTTTGGCTGAAGTCCCTTAAGTTAGGAATTTGCTGGACACTGCAAGTGTTTATTTAATTCCCGCCAGCCTGATCATCAATTGCAAATAGCCAAAACACTATAGTTACACTCCTGGCCCGCGAGAGAAAGATGATAATATTTGATCAACAAGAGATAAGCGAGAAGCTGGCAATTCCGACATTCGTGAGAGCGAATCCAGAAAGAAGGAATGCAAATGTCTTGGCCACCCACGCCCTCAGAGCTGGAGCGACAGTTGCTGCTAGAGATATTGCCTCACAGAACTAATACATTTTTGTGCGCATTCGCTTTACTGGCCAGCAAAACTTCATCAGAGCGAAGATTGCAGTTCAAGGGTTTCAGTCAGGTAATGAAATCTTTTGCAAATAATTTGATGTATGTATGTAAGCACAACATTAGCATGGGACAATATTATTTAGGCTCGAAAGCAGACCCTTTCTGGAGAAAGGAACGTCCACCGCTGTAAATGCCATAGCGGTACAGGCCGAGATATTTTGGCCACGTCTCCCTTTCTGTGGCCGGACACCAGAGATAGAGTAAAAACCAAGCCGGAGAAGCATCGAGCGCCGCTTGCATGTTGCAGATTTAGCAATATATAATGGCAGCGCGACAGCGACAGGACCGCCAAGCCAAGAGGGTTTGTAGAGGTGCAGCTGCCAGGAAGCGCTAGACAATGCGCAAAGAAAAAAAACCTATTGTGCGTAATAGTTCGCTTTACATGCGAGGCTAACCAGAGGTTAGTGGCATTGGAAGGATATTCAATTATATCAGTGCGTATATGAGGTTGAGCGCCATAAGACAAACATTGCGCTACCTCCGCCACAATCCAACGCGCTCTGCCCACTCATCTGGCAACTGTCCACGAGGTTTTATACCGCGGCTCCTTAAAGATCACAGGAGCGCACTTCACTTGAAGCAGCATAATCCTGCCGTCTTTGATCAGGCTTTTGTAC